AACAACAATATGACTGAATAGCTAAAATCACAACTGTAATTCCAAAACTGCATCTTCTGGCAATATTAGCAGACTGTCATATTACAGGGTCAAGAAACAAAAGCTATTGTCCAGTCATGTTTGGACAATAACAGACATTTGGGGTCAGATGAGAGAAAGGAAGCGGGGGAGGGGGGCGGCGGGGAAGGAAATGGAGAAAACACTTGAACTAACTTTTTGGGAAACACAAGACTTACCTGCCACACTATAGACGTTGGGGGAAATGAAAAGAGGCTATAAATCTTTGCAGGGGAGTGGTTGGACAATCAATCTTGTGATTCACAGTCTTGTGCTTATTATGCAGAGCCAGTGAACTCCCTTTAAGTTGTGGTAGTGGTTGTGTGTTACCAAGTTATTTCCAACTCATTGAAACACTGTATAAGATTTCCAAGGCTATAAACCTTTGCGGGAGCAGAAAGCCTTATCTGTCTTCTGTGGAGCACCTTGGTAGATTCGAACTACTGATCTTGCAGTTAGCAGCCCAACTCATAATCCACTACACTACATCATGTTGTTGTTGTTAAGTGCTGTCGAGTCGGGTCCAACCTATAGCGACCCTGTATAGGGTTTCCGAGGAGCAGCTGGTGAACCTGAACCGCCAACCTTGCAGTTCAAATGGCTTTGCAGTCTGGCGCATTAACTCACAGTGCCACACCAGCATACACTACATCATAGCACGTCTTAATTTTAAACTTACTTTGCTGATTGCATGTTTTGAAAGATGAGGACATCAACATTTCCTCCCACCTTTCTCCCCTCACTTCCTTCTTATTATTACTATACATATTTTTTATGTCTAAGCTTACAACAAAAGAGCTTTGGTGGTATTGTAGGGTAAGCAGTAGACTGCTAACTGCAAAGTCAGCAGTTCAAACCCACCAGCAGCTCCATAGAAAAAGATGAGGCTTTCTCCTCCTATAAAACTTTATAGCCTGGGAAACCCCTATACAAGGCCGCTATGAGTCACAATCGACTTGATGGCAGCAGGTGATGGTGGTTGTTGTTATTAAGTGCTGTCGAGTTAGCTTCCAACTCATAGTGACCCTGTATAGGGTTTCCAAAGAGCAGCTGGTGAACTTGAACCACCGACCTGGCAGTTCAAATGGCATTGCAGTCTGATGCATTAGCCTACAGCACCACACCACGTGATGGTGGTAGTAGACTTAAAATAATCACGTTCTATTCAACTCAGTTTTCAAAGATGTTTTGTATTAATTCTACATTTAAGTAATTTAAATACTT